GGTGGGATTTTTTTAATATGTCATATTAAATTAAGCGCTCACAGGGTTCATACAGGAATGAGTGACTCTAATTTAATGCTATTTTAATGCTATTAGAAATTATTTTAATGCCATCAACAAGAACCATGTACACAAGTTATTAGTGTACATGAAATATGAAGGAGCTGTAAGCATAGTTCCATGACTCCTGTATGTATGTAAACACACACACACACACACATATATAGGTATATATATATATATATATCCTCTAGCTTTTTCTCCGCCTGGAGCGATATAATATATCTGACGAAATTGTTTTTATAAGCATTTTTTATTAAAGAATTATAAATACTTCGATAAACATATTTAAATAATTTTAGTGCCAATTAAGGCCTTGATTTAAAAAAAAATGAATGATTTTTTAATTATTTTTATTGATCCGCGGAAACCCTGGTTCATCTAGCGCATGCTCTGTACGATCTCCAAGAAACTCAGAGCGGCGCGGTGTGCAGCCACAGTGGAGGATGTATGCTTTGTTTTGTGCAGGCGGTCTGGAGCGGATCATGTGGGATTTCGGGGTAAAATTCCTCTTGGACGCGATGGCGACTCTGCATCGAACAAGACGAACTCAAAGAAGAGATGCTAGCGGTAAATATATGTTCGATTACTGCCTGCTGAGCTAAAAGCAGCCTAGCCTAAGCTACGGCTAATAGCAGCCTAGCCTAAAGCTACTGCTAATAGCAGCCTAGCCTAAAGCTACGGCTAATAGTAGCCTTGCAAGAACAAGCTTTATTAAAGTGTATTTTTTGTGATTCACAGGAAGCAGTACGCCGTCTTCACAACTCGGAGACTAATTGCAGGCGCTATGAACCGGAGCAAGGGTAAGATTTAAAGAATATGCTTTCATTCTGCGGTAAAAGGCAATGGATACGGATAGATACCGATCATAGCTTTACATTTTGTTTTCACAGACCTCCTATTTGCTCGGAGCCATATCAGCAAGTTCAGATTTGCACGATGTTGATAAAGACGACATTGTGTGTAAGTGACTTGTTTTAATGTTTTCTCCTTCCTTGTTACTGTGACTTGCCTTTGATTTTTTATTCATACCACTCTCATTTAATTGTTTTCCAGCTGCCTGTTAGACGTATTTTCAGACGGTACGCAGGAGCTTCAGATATATGCAGCCAGCCAACACGTTGCGTGCGGCTGCCAAGCAATCTGCTCTGAGTCGGGCCAGAAGAAAGAGGGTAAGACTTTATTTGGTGACTATTTTTCAGGTGCATTAATAGATGTGTTGTGTCCATACGCAGTGTGCTGATTCATTGTTTTTTTTTTTCAGCTGCTGAAAGCGAGGCAGAGTGTGCTAGCAGATGAGGAAGTGGAACTCTGGAAGTCCGCCACCGTCGGCCTCATGTCCGACGAAGAAGATGGCGTCGTTGGCGGTGTCTCTAAGCTGCAGTCCCGGTTAGAAGCGATGCCGAAGTACAGAGCCACGCACAGTAGGCATCTGCACATCGGACCTGCCTCGGAGGGAATGCTGCCAGTTACCTCCAACCCCGAGGAAGCAAACGGACCGTTCACGGAGTTGTAATTTTTAGATACGCATGTGTTTGGATACGCGTTGTATATAGCTGTGTGTGTTTTAATAAAGCTCTTTCTTTGCATAAACAGCTTCCTGGCAAATGTTCATTTCCTGTATAAATTCATTCATGTCCTTGATGGTAGTCTAATAATTGTGTAGTAGTGTAGGATAACATAAATACACAGCATATGAATAAATAAATATATGAATGAATAAATATATATTCAGAAATATATATATGTAAATTTATATGTAAATATATATATATGCCAACCAATCACGAGCGACTTTACTTGTTTAAAAAGAAGTGGTTCCGTCCAATACTCAGTAAGAAAATTAAAGCCTGGCGTGGCCACGTGTGGTTTTGCTGCCAATCACGAGCGATTTCACTTGTTTGAGAATAGTGGTTTCAGCCAATACTGAGTAGGTTATTCAAGCCAGACCTGGCCAGCCGCGCGGGTTTGCTGCATTCATATGCTAATTAGGGCCATTAGTACAGCTGATCGCTCTCCACATAAGTCAGAGTCCGTTTCCGACAATTTGTGGCACGACAAACGCGGACAAGCGCGGGTTGCAAATTGTCGGAAACTGACGAAAATCAGGGAGATCTGCGGGAGTTTACGGGGGTTTACGGGGACGAAAATCTCACATTTCATGCAGTGCCTTCTTCCAGCAGCCATGGTTTGTGGACCTCCTAATAGTGAAGAATTACAATAGTCCATTATTGAAGTAACAAATGCATGGACTTGTTTTTTCAACCCATTCACGAGACCTTAGCAAGCTACACTATAACAATGCATGACCCCTTAGCAAGCTAAAAAACCCCAAAAACTTATGAGGCCTTGTCAAGCTAAAAGAAATGATTTATGAAACCTTAACAAGCTGAAAAATATCCAGTCATGAGACCTTGACAAGCTACAAAATCTTCCACTTATAGAATTCTGATTTTGTATTTTTTCCTAATTCCCCTAAAAAGTTGGACCTTTTTAAGATGAATTTATACAGAGATACATCACAGCAAACCACTACATGTTCCAAATCCCCCCATACTACAGGAGGAGGAGGTTTACAGAGATGTGTTTTTTGGCATGTATTGTACCTAGGTTTTGTGTCTTTCGTACCCTTTAGATAATTTTCTGTCTCTGTGGCGCTACAGAGATGCATATGCAAATATCTTTGTGACTGTTCAAATATATCTGTTGGGATCTGGAGATCTGCCACCTATCTCCAGCAGAGAGCGCTATGGGTCTTCTGAGCTGGAGCCTCCTGCACACCTGAGGATCATCAGCCCATCAGGAGACCAGCTACATAAGCAGCAGCCAGACCTGTCTTCAGTGCCAGAGTGTTGCCAAGTTATGGTTGGCAAAACCTGAGCCAAGCCTGCTAAGTCTATTGTCTGATACTCTGAGGAGTAACCTGAGATCTAACCCGTTTTTGTCTTCTCTGCTTCCTAGACCTGTCTGCCTGCCCTCACGAGCCAAACCTGAGGATCCACAAGTTCTGTCTGATTCCAGTTCTCAGGAAAAAACATCTGGCTAACCTGAGGATCCACAAGATCTGTCTGATTCCAGTTCTCAGGGGAAAACTCTAACCTGAAGATCCACAAGCTCTGTCTGATTCCAGTTCTCAGGAGAGAACTTTGGCAAACCCTCAAGGCCTATACTAGAATCTGAAGACAAGCTCTGCCGCTGCAAGCTCTCTGCTGTAACAACGAACTCTGGACCCAACTGGTTCCCTCTCTCACCGCGTCTGTCTGAATACCTTCAGGTACAACACTGAATCAGACTCTGTCAAGATTTCCCCAGACTCCCTGGCTAACCTAACTATACCTTCTCTACAGAGAACCCTCGTGAAGTCTGTCCCAGACCAGAACCTGTTTCCAATGATTTACTTGTGTGAACATCTTAATAAACTGTTTGAACTTTTACTACCGTTTCCGTGGTGTGTTCTGCATGTGGGCTAATTCAGTAAGCCATCATGACAATATCCAGGCTTTTCGAGCATCTCAAAAAGTTCTAACTTTGACATCTAGATAGGTTCAAATGTCCAGAACCAAAAGACATAAGTATATCAGTTTAAGCATTTATATTCAGCTGACAAGCAAAAAAAATGATGATAACATAAACAGCTATTAGTTTGTGACTCCATAAGCTGATTTAATTTTTGAAAGTAAATGGTACACATAAGAGCATGTGGTAGTAGTGCGCATTCCTGGACATGGTTGTGCTTGTACAGTCAACAGTTTTAGAGACAGACTTAAAATTTTCTTTGAATGAGTTTCTCTAGAGGAAAATATTTGTTAGAGGTAAAAGTGAGACGTCCTCCTCTGTTGAGTTTTGGTATTTATTTATTGGCAGACATTGCTTTCTTTACTCCTTTTTCATACTACCTGTCCTCTTCTTAAATTTGAACATCGTCACCATGAAAATATCTTAAAAAGTCCTGTATAAAATTTTTTTATCTCTGTTAGTTTCAGCAGTAACGGATTTAATTCATTGATTGTAAATATTCACAGTAATTGTCCATAATTTCTGACTCAGAGTTTCAGTTTCTCTTCTTCCTCTGGATTTCAAGAGAAAAGAAACTTAAACTTTAAAACCAATTGGACAAGACACAACAAAGGTCATACATTCAGGTTAAGAAAAAACAAATAAGACAGAATCTGAAACTTATGTTGTACTTCTCTGGTGAAGTTTCTACTTCTATAAAGTGAAACAAAAATCCAACCATTCCCACAATGTTTGAACAGGTGTGTTTCTATTCCAACAGCCTCTGTGACGTTCTGCAACTACGTCCAAACATATAAAAGGGGCTTTGAGCTTAGATTGAGCACTTTCGAGGACAACCTTTCATGAGAAGCATTCAAATCCTTAAACATTCAAACTTATTCACATGGAAAACATCTGGAACATGAAGTAAGTGATGTAATGATGAGAAATATTAGAAACCTAACACAATATCTTATTGTGTTTATAGGACTTTGTTCATTTTGTTCTGGTTCTTTTCAGGTCAACTCTTTTATACACTGTCCTCTGCTTTAGTTTTCTCTTCTGCCTTGGTGCTTTTAGTTTGGTATTTTCAAAGTAAAATCTTTTTATTCTTTCACGTTTCTAGATAAGGTTGTATTTCCTGAAATACAACGCTTTTAATCAAGGTTATACATTTATTTTGTTTCTCATATATTTTTTTCTTTCTGGGTTTTATTTGGCTCAAAATTATTTTAATCCACAGAAGTTCCCAGTTTTAGATATTTTCCACACTTTTGTTGGATCTTACTTTCTGGTCTTAACATAATGTCTTGCCTCTTTTATAATTTATTTTCTCCTCTTATATATCACATAATTAATTTCAAATAAGTTAAAAGCAAATTAAAATCGCATATCTGATTACTCTTCTTCCTTCTACTTTATGTGATTATCTACTTTATGTGATTATGAAGGCCTTGCAGTGCCACTTCACCTGGGATCTAGAACCTACCAAGTACAAATTGAACTATCTCAGGGATGCACTGGAGGACATCGCCACAGATGAGGGAAACGTCTGGCTGGGTCACATCTACAACCTGCAGGGGTTCATCCAGTACATGCTGGGTTCCTCTGAAGAGGCCCTGAAGTTCTTCAGACGAGCCACTGAGACCTTCCAGCGCCTTAAAAACTCTGATGAAGGCCCCTGGTTGATGGTGAACTTTGGGAATCTGGCTTGGCTGCACCATGTTATGGGTGAAGATGAGAAGAGTCATGATTACCTGTCAAAGGTTGAAGCTCTAATGAGAGAATACCCAGCTCCACCTGAGGAAGAGCTCTACTCAGAGGTCTGTGCTGAGAAGGCCTGGACCCTGATGAAGTTTGACAAAGAGAAGAAGCTGCAGGCTGCAGAGCTCTTCCAGAAAGCCGTGAGGATGCAGCCAGATAATCTGGAATGGCAGACCAAATGGGTCATATTATTAGCAGATCGCTTCCTAGACAACATGGAAGACATGCCTCCTGATGTCTTGGAAAAAGTGAAATCTGCCTCTGAACGAGATCCAGACAACTTATATGTTGCTGCTCTTTATCTGAGGGCACAAGCTACAAAAGGAGTACAAATTCAGGATGAAGCTAAAAGATTGGCTAAAAGGTTCCTAGAAAGATCTCCAAGCAGTTACAATGGCTTCAGCCACTTAAGGCGACTGTACATTGAGTATATGTCTAAGGATGAAGCTATTAAGTTTGCCGATGAGATCCTGAAGAGATATCCTGACAGTGATCATGCAAAGGGATTTGCTGCCATCTGCTACAAAGATAATGTCCTTTCTCCAGACTTCACAACCAGTAGTCAAAGCGGCATCGTCACACGAGCCACTAGTCTCTGGGAGGAGAAGATTGGTCTCTATGGTGAATCTAATCTTAAAGATCAAATAACTCTAGCTGATTTATATGCAAAGGTGGATAAAGAGAAAGCTGAACAGATTTATAGTGAGATGCTGAATAGAAAACACCTGGATTCAGCAGAGAAACAGATGCTTTATAATTGTTATGCAAGCTATTCATTCTTCAATAGAAATGATAGTTTCAGGGCTATTGAGTACCGCATGATGGCAGCAGAGATTCAAGAAGAATCCAGGTATCGACAGAAACGCATTACAGAGCTAAAGAGGACCTTGTACAGAATCAAAGACCGTGAAATTTGTTCTAAAATTACAAAGCTTCTGACCAGCCTGGAAAACCAGCCTGAAACAAAGAATCGGTGCATAGTAGAAAAGCACTCTGAGAGCGCAGACCTCCACAAGCATACAGACAAGCAACAAACAGCTGAAGAAGACATTGAAAATAAGCAAAGACCCTAAAATATGTGAGAAGATCACGGACATTCTGACCAGCCTGGCACACAGAATCAATGAATATTAAAGAGATCTCAAAGAAAGATTCTGCAGAGTTCTGGTTCTGCAGAGTTCTGCCCCAGGCTCAGTGAATATAAAGACCTGTTTATTAAATCAGAATTTAATAAAGAATAAGTTCATAGCTGGTTTATAAGGATTTATCTTACAAAAAGTATCTTTAATGTGAAAGATAAGACAATCAAATTTACAGAATAGGGTTGTAGATTGTAACCACACTTTTTAGATGGTTTAAGATATTGAAATTAATTTACCATAATAATTGTATCACTTTTTACATAATTGAAAGTTTAATCAGATCATTTCTGATATGAATTAAGAATGTGTAGAAATCAGCAGATTGGAGAGGACTGAGTGACGAGCAATACAGAAGGCGGCTTGTTGACATATGAGGCACAGCAGCTGCAAATGTTTGTCTTGTGAAGAAAATCATACAGAAAAAAGACTTTTTAAGATAAAGCAGAAAGAAGAAGAATTTTGACATATATCTGACAATTATCTCATGTTAATGTAGCTTCAAAATATTGGGGGATACCTAATTATAGCTTTGAAGATTTTTCAAGTAGAGAAAGTTAAAAAAATATTTAGCGTAAAAAATGTATAGTATGTAGCTCTAAGGGAGTTGAATCAACGATGAAAAGCTTCAGATGAGGACTTTAACATAACTTTCAATTACACTGAATTACCCCTTGCTCACACTGGCTCCGGTGCGGTTACCGAGCCGACGGAGACCGCAACTCCCGCACACCCCCTCTCACACCGCCCTTTTAACTACGGTGCGGTGCGGCTCTGAGGCTCCGGCAACAGGTCCGGAGATTTAACTCGCGAGAACAGAAGTTCACTTGAGTTCACGTAACTTCACGCGATAACACGGCCCAAATAATGATATTTGCGAGAGCTTGTTGCGGAGGGCTCCAGCACGCCGCAAGGATAGCTTTCTTGCTGAATTTTCTGCAGCACTGGAGTGTCTCGGTAACCGCAGCCGGACAGCTCAGCAGCCGGTGAGAGAGGTTTACGTCTTTTTAATGACTTGGAATCACTGCAGCGCCGCACCCACCGCACCGCAACGGTAAGACCGGAGTTGGTGTGAGCCGGGGGTTAATGGAACATTAATGAACATGTCTTATGACCTTAAGTTTTGTTTAAGAAAAGTCAGTGCTGATAAATTATAGTAAATCTGTTCATACTGTTTTAAGTAATTTTTCATAAATAATATAATAAATATTTGTATATTATATATAATATCTGCAATTCAATACATTTCAAACATGACAAAAATATTAAACATTATTTTGGTTTTACAGCGTTGATGTCTGAGTTTATTTCAGATGTAATATTTTTGTTGCATTTTAAGTAATTTTTACTTCTTGTCTTTTCCTGTTTGCTAAGAAAAGTTCTTAATTTGTTTAGATGTAAAAAAGTAGAGTCAATTTAAAATTTATTTAAAAAAAACAGGCTCATTGTTGTTTGCTGTGAGACTGGAATCAGCTTGTAGAAACACAAAAAAGAAAAACAGTTGTTGGCATAAGTTTATAATAAAAGTAATAAAGCTTGTTTGTGATTCTTGACCTTTGACCTTATCTACAAATTTCATTTGGAGCTTTGGACATTTAGTATAAGAAGCCCTGATGTATATGAAAGTATAAGAAAGGCAGAAGTGGGTAGAGAACCCAAAAATTGAAAGTAGCACTACTTATAACTGCTAATTTTTTCACTCAGTAAAAGTAAAATGTAGTCATCCAAGAAATTACTCAAGTAAAGAGTAGGCTATTTGGTAAAAATGTTATTCAGGTTTTTGTAGGATTCAAACATCTGATTTAATGATTAGAAATAATGCAGATAGACTTTATGCACAAGTTCTGAAATTTTAAAGACTGAAATGCATAAAGAATACAAACAAATGTCAGGAATATAAAAGAACAAACTAATGCAGAAACATTAATTTTACTATTTTTTCCCCACAAAAAACCTAGAAAAATAATCCTTACAGTGAGAGCTATATATGCAAGGAAAGGGTAAAGAGTAAATTAAAATAATATCTACTGTTTACTGTATGTTTACCTGATCTTGGAATAGGTAAAATATTCACAGTGGACAGAGTAGTTAGGAATTTTACTCAAGGAGGAGTAACAATACTTTTCAAGAAGTCTTGTATATTAAATTAAAGTTAGAAGTATGGTAAAGTAAAAATACTCCAGAAAGTAATTTTCTTCTCAAATTGTTACTCAAGTAAATGTAACTTAGTAAATGTAGCGAGTTATTACCCACCTCTGCTGAACGGTCATAAAGGTGTCCTCAGAAAAATATCTTTACAGTCTGACAGAAAGTTAATGTTTAGATTTAATATGAGGCATTAAAGCTGTTTGATCATTTGTTTTATCACCACGTTCTTATCTGAGGAAGAATGCTTCTCAGAAAGTGTGCAAAGAAAAATAAAACATCTTAAAGTATTAGCAGAATTTATTCCAGTCATGTTTAACAAAGTAATTTATATCAGCACAAATTACAGAGGAAGTCTTCACCTTCTTTGTCTTAGGCCTGTCCACTGTCTTCTTAGCTTAGGAAACAGCAAAATGGCCCACATCTACTAGAAGATTTCCAGTTTATCCAAAAATGCAGCCGCCAGTCAGCAGGTCATCATAGGTCAAGCGTTGGAATGTCCCTTTGGCTGACTTGCTACCATACATACATATGATCAGTAACAGAAAATGATGAAATAAAAAGAAATTAATCTTCAACAAAGCATACCACTAGAATTCTTCCAAATTACCTCTAGATTTTTTTAATGAAGCAGAAATACAAGGAACTTTATTTTAACTGATGAGCTGTGGAAGTTCACTGTTTCCAGGTGAAGCTCAGCAATAGATGTCATGTGACACCATAACATTTATTTTCCACACTCATAAAGACATAAAACAACAAACAGCTGTGCATATCTGATCAGAACCCTTAATAAGCATAACCATATAACCTTAAGACTTTCATACCGTCGGTTATGGCCAGAATCCATCTCAGTGAAGTTTTGACCTCCTCCAGGAAATCAAAATGTTGCTGCTAGTTTCTACTTCATAGGAAATGAGAGCATAAACCTTAATCTTTACCTAATAAATACCAGGACAGGGATTACATATCTTTATGGTGCTGCACCTTTAGGATGAGAGAATAAATAAGAGCAGAATCTGAGAAGCTTTTATTCACCAGAGACACCAAACAGCTGGAAGATGAGGTGAGTCACTCTTTCTGCTGATTTTACATGTACAGGTTTTCAGTTAGTCAAGATTTAACAGTAATTTGTTCACAGAGTTAATATCAAACTAAAACTGGAGCAGTTTCTGTTTAAAGCTCCTTTAAAAACATCCATCTGCTCATCATTCTGATGCTGATCATTTTCCAGACAGAAACGTCTGACTGAACAGACACCAATGATGGATCGTTATGTAGGTTCTGCTCTGACTTTATATCATTCAGTATTTGTCATAGTCATAGTTTATGTTGTCCTGTGAACACACACCCAACTAGCTTTGTAAGGACAAATAATGAAAGTGTGATTCAACCTCAAATTATGGTTAATTAAATAACTGTGCACAGATATGGAATACATTCACAACAACCTCCATTCAAAATATAAACATTTATTAACAAAAATACCTAAACTCCAGGTCTAACATATTTTAGTTAAAAACCCTTAACTAATGAAACTAAAATAAACCAAGTAGCTACTATGTTCACATAGAAGAAAAATGCTAATAAAAATAGTAATATTAATTATAATGATGCAATGATATCTCAGTTCAGCAGGGAGTTTGTGCTTGAGGGTTAAAGTTTAACTTAAAGAGATTGGAATGAGGTCAAATTAGCTTTAAATCTAATTTAGAGCAACTTTAGTTTTCAAGCCATTTTACAAAGCAAATCCAAGAAGTAAATAAATTATTTTCTGGTAAATAATATTTCATAAAATGATTTTTTAATTCAAAAATCAACATCCGTTTAGATAATTGATCTCAGAATTATGTGATGGTTTCAGGGACAATAAACTTGAGTAAGAAGCCCAGCTAAAGAGGGTTTAGCCTCTGGTTAGATATTATTTAGTCAGCAGCACGTGGTTGCATTAGCTTTACTGTTCACCTTTGGAACACAGGATAACATTTGAAATAACCATAAATCATGAAAAATTCAAAATGTTTTGCATGTTCAGTGATGCTTAGGGCAGCTGCTGATTTCATAGCCTTGCTGGGATGCTTGGTTCTTTTGGATGATTGAGGGATCATAAGTCCCTCTCTGACCTTTGGCTGAAAGGTACTCCTGCAAACGTGAAGAAAGAACTTTGCAGACAGTCTGTTCAAAGCAACCTGGTTCTGAAAGTATTTTGCAGGTCTGCTGAACTTGACTTAACCTTCTGAAAAGTGAAATCCTTCAGCATGCAGTGAAAGCCAATCACATATCTGATAATGCAGCCTGGGCAACGTCCACAGGAAGAGAGTGAGAGGTGGGATCTCAAGCCTTTATAGGAAGCACAGTAAGAGGCCTCATACTGTATAGGCCTTTCCCAATAAGTGGCTACTGCCTCGCCCTACCTACTTTTCACTTCAATTGTGTGAACCTGCAGAGGGTCGGCCATATTAAACCCCATCTTAAAGCAATTAGATATGGGTGTGAGTGGTTTATGAGGCCTTTCACAGATACCAAGGACCTGTTTCCCGCTCATGCAGCAGGTGCAGCACCAATTTGTGGTCGGCATGGAGAACGGGATGTAACTTCTGCATATGCATTTTATACATTCACTGAGTAGAGAAACACCTCACCAAAAAATATACTTTCAAATAGGCTTTATGAATCATTTTGTTAAAGTTGGAATTGTTGTGAAAAGCTATTATAGTTTGCCAGAAATAAAGTCAAAAATAATTCCTCAAAAAAATGTGGGTCTGATTGACCTTGCAGGGTGCAAAGGTTAAACTCAACAGTGCATATTGATTTACCTGTAGATGCAGAAGTATTAATGCACATAAGGTGTGTGCAGGATCGTAGCAAGAGTTTAGAAACTACTGAGGTTGACTAAAATATTTTTATAAAATAAAAAAAATATAAAAAGTACTTTATTAACTGACGTCGTTTTGGTCTGATATATCTACCACATTGGGCTTGGCCTATAGCTGCACCACTGCTCCTAATCCACAGTCTGCAATTTTTTTGGTGTCCTTCAGACTACACACTTGCCCAAGGTGTTAAAAGGTGTTGTTTCATTCACAAGCCTGCTGGCCCATAAACTGATTTTGCTTAATTGAAAACTTGCCCATCCTCCTTCACATATCCGCTGGAACCCGGAGGTACTCCAAAATCTGAAGCTTGAGAAACTCAGATTCTCACTTAAATGTTCTGTGAAATCATTCAATTCCACCTGGGACCCTTTTCTACGACACAAGAATCTCTTAATTATAATTCTCAAGAACTGGGGGTTTAGTAGAGAGGGTGTTTTATTTATCTCTTTGTTTATTTATTTGTTTATGACGTTCTGATGTGTATGTATATATATATATATATATCCATCCATCCATCCATTTTCTTTACACGCCCGTCCCAAGTGGGGTCGCGAGGGGTGCTGGTTCCTATCTCCAGCAGTCAATGGGCGAGAGGCGGGATACACCCTGGACAGGTCGCCAGTCCATCGCAGGGCAACACAGAGACACACAGGACAAACAACCATTCATGCACACACTCACACCTAAGGACAATTTAGAGAAGCCAATTAACCTAACAGTCATGTTTTTGGATTGTGGGAGGAAGCCGG